TTGCTGTGGTTTTCTCTGTTCCCATCATGGACTTTGACTGACTGGAGCAGAGATCTCTGCCACATGCAGCTCTTCTCACTCAGCTCTGTCTCTACCACTTTCAAAGCCTAAGGGGTCCACTCCACTCAGACTGTGTGCTGGGGCCCACATGTGTCCACCACCGCAGCCATCTGCGACTCACCAGGTACGCATGCAAGCTGGTGGATGCACTGACTGGAGTACAAATAGTTAATCAGGGAGGTGAGTCGCCTTAGAAGAGCCTGTGCAGTGGGCAAAGAAAGAGAAGCATCCTAGAATATTGGTAGGGGGAAAAAAGGGTATATTATGAAAAGTTTAACTATACTGATTCTTCGGATACATGAATCAAGTGACCATTTCTATTCACTTGTGTCTTCTTTCATGTCTTTCATTAGTGGTTTATAGCTTTTGCTATACATCTCTTCTCCTCTATAGTTAAATGTATTCCTAATTTATCTGATTTTTAGCATAATTTCATGGTTATGAGAGTGTTGTACAGAAAGGTTATCATTTCATAAGTCAGGTAAGGAGTGTGTTTGTTTTTTGGACAATGTTACTTCCTTCATTTCCTCTCAGTTCCGCCCTCCCGTTACTGCCCACAAGTTATACGGTTCGTGTTCTACGTAGTGTATACTGAATAGCATGATTGTATTTGTTCACCCCTACTCCCTCCCTTTCCGCACCCCCCACTGACTTCCCTAAAAAGAAAAAAACAAACAAACAAACTCCAACAGCATCAACAACAACAAAAAATAACATGTTTCCATTTCCTGGAATTCATTTTGGTATGATTTTAGTTTTTAACTATTATGTATGGGAATACATTCCTGGATCTCTCTTTTTTTGGTAGCTAATTGTATATAGAAATGCTACTGATTTTTATAGATTAGTTTTGCATCCTGCAGCTACAGTTTACTAAATTTGTCTTATCAGTTTTAACAGGAGTATGTGTGTGTATGTGTGTGTGTGTCTGTCTGTCTGTCTGTATGTGTGGATGTGTGTTGAAGTCTTTAAGGTTTTCCATAAAAGCAATCAAGTCACCTGGAAGCAAAGCTAATTTACTTTAGACACCTTTTATTGTTCTCTCTCTCTCCCCCTACCCCCTCCCCCACCTGTCTCTTACTTTGGCTAGGATTTCCACTCTTCTGTTGAGCAGGAGCCATGAGAATAGGCATCTTTGTTTCCGTCCTAGAGAAGAAGTTTTCACAGCTTGTTTGCTTCGGGCCATGTCATCTGGTGGGTTTTCGTACTTCTCACTGAAGATGAGTCTTCAAATTCTCCTTCGGGTGATTCATGTGTCTCCAATTCTTCAGTGCTAGCTTGCTTGCGCCTCATTAATTGTCGTTGGTGGTGTCTACTTAGCCTGATTTGACAGAACTAGTACAAACTGATTTTTTTTTCTGGTTAAGGTCATCCGTTAGATCTGCTTTGAGACCCACCTGGGGATCACAGTTGATAAACTTGTGGCCAGGGGCTCCAAGTGGGGTGAGTCCTATCTGATTCCTAAGACCAAAGCCAGGATGGAAGGGGCAGGGGGTGGGGGTGGGATAAAGGCCCACTTGGAGGCACACAGAGCGCAGGTCTGTTCCCTCATTTGCAGATGCATGCACCTTCTTCTAGGTCACTGGGAAGGAATTTTTGTCTGAGGATTGACACAATCTGAGTCTGACAGGGGTTGGAACCAAATCGAGGGGTTGTTGCTTCTATGCCTAAGGCAGTGGCCTGTCTGTGGTACCAGGTCTCCTTATGGGCCCCTGGCCAGGCAGCTCTTTCTCATTCCCCACAGGTGACAGGGAGTCAAGCTGAGCTTCAAGGCTGTTCCAGTTCCCTTGTGCAACCAAGGCTGTCAACTCTTCCCTGAGGACACTCTTGATGGCTATTTCTCTCAGCTTGTCCCTAAATAAGCAGGATGTTCCTCCCAGACTAACCATAGTTTGGGAGTTGAGTTTCAGCGGTGCCTTTATAATCTCCAGTGCAACTGAGTTTTGTGAATGTGTCTTCGAGTCACAAATAAGCCAGTCTCCCAGCAATTCCCTGCACAGGAAGGCTTTGTTCTGAATCTGGGAAGGAAATCCAGGAGCCTTTCAGAATCTACCACGGTGCTGAGGTTGACATCCCCGCCATAGGAATTGAGACAGGTAACCTCTCTTGGTGGGGGGGGGGGTCTATGTATAGCTATGACTAATGCAGCCCTGTGGGTAAGATAGACTGGAGGTGAGTTCGAGGGTCTGTGATTGAAACCAAGAAGAGTAAGCCTTGTTTCCTAAAGTACTCATGGGTGGGACAGCCCGATCCTCTTGGAGAAGGGGATCTGGCTCTTTCTAGATCTGGAATCTGGGTCATAGGTAAGAAATCTGGTCTTGGAGCACAGGATCATTTTCTCAGAACAACCCTTCCACAGGACACTGGTGGCTCACACCTGTAGTCCTAACTACTCAGGAGGCTGAGATCTGAGGATAGTGGTCCACAACCAACCGGGGCAAGAAACTCCATGCAACTCCTATCTCTTCTTTCCAATTAAACACCAAAAAAAGTCAAAGTGGAGCTGTGGCTCAAGTGGTAGAACACTAGCCTTGAGTAAAAAACAGCACCAAGGCCCTGAGTTCAAGCCCCACAACACACACACACACACACACACACACACCCCAAAAAAAAAAAAACTCTAATATCTTAGGATCTCTGGGTTTCATAAACTCCTCTTGAATACCAAGATTTCCACAAAGTATTTTTTGATCTGTGGTCTGTGGGTGGCTGAGAAATTATTGTTGTTGTGAGGGAAAGAGAGTCGGAGCAGTACCTAATCTGTCACCTTGCTAAACTTACTCCTCTCCCCCTTTGTCTTTCAGATGTCTGCTCTAACCTGTCTGCTTTCACAATTTCCTCTTCATTTTTTTTCTTTTTTTCTTTTTTTTGTCGGTCGTGGGGCTTGAACTCTGGGCCTGGGCGCTGTCCCTCAGCTCTTCAGCTCAAGGCGAGCGCTCTACCACTTGAGCTACAGTGCCACTTCCGGTCTTCTGGTGGTTTATTGGAGATAGAAGTCTCACAGTCTCTCCTGCCTGGGCTGGCTTTGAACCGCGATCCTTAGATCTCAGCCTCCTGAGTAGCTAGGATTACAGGCATGAGCCACCAGCGCCCGGCTCCTCTTCATTTTTTTTGACCTAAGCAAATTTGTTTATGATATGCCTAACTATTATGATTCTCTTTTTTGTATTTCTCCTGTTTGAGACTTTCTGATATTCTAAGATATTCTAAGATTCTGATATTCTGAGAGCTGTAAATTTATGTTCTTCACCAAACTCTCGAAAACGTCTGCTCATTTTTTGTGTTCTTTCTGTTTCACTGTTCACCTGAGTTTCCCTTACTATTTTTCCATGTGTTCCCTCTGTTCTTCTGACTCTTGGCTCTTTTGCTGTAATTTCAAGTTCACTGACTTTCTTTGGTCATGTCCAATGTGCAAAAAAAAAAATAAAATAAAAAGTCCATTCAATTAATTTTTAACTTAAGGCAATGGATTTTTTCAGTTAATGATTCCCAATTAATCCTTTGTTTTTCCCTGCTTCATGTCACTATTTGTTTAATTAGAGTTTTTTTTCCTTTGGTCTTCAAACATAATCATTGTGGGTATAGAATACTTACCCTAGTCTACTAATTCCAACATCAGAGTCGTGAGTTTTCTTGGTAGATGACTTGCTATGGGGAGATGAGCAAATAGAACCCGGATTCAAATCCTGTCCCTGCTTTATGTTGCTTCTGTGACTTGGGAATGTTCTAGAGTCTCTTCCACATCATTTTCTTTATATAACATAAATTGTGATCTACCATGCATTTTGCTAAAGCAGCCAAATGTGACTCATCCTTTCCTTCTTCTCTTTTATTATTCCCTATCAAAACTAACAGCATATGCTCCCAATTAGCACTCAAAACCTCTCGTTCACCCAGTTCTCTTCATCCCAGTGTATTATTCTTGCTACCTAACTGTACTCCTAGCCTGTAGGAGGCTGAAGCAGGAGGATGGGGAGTTCTTTCGTCTATAGGAGTTCAGGTCACAGTGATTCAGCTATAGGTGAATATATTGAAGTTCTGGAAAATGGGGAGCAGCACAGTCGCAGAGAACTAAATGAGGGCACACCGTTGGATTTGTTTCTTTCTTTGTGCATTTTTATTGTTGTTATAAAGGTGATATACAGAGGGGTTACAGTTATGTAAGGATGCTGCCCCTTCCCTCGCTCTCTCTCTCGGTTTTTCCTTCCCATCCCCTCTCACAAGTTGTATAGTTCACTTTCAACATAGTGTCTAGTGAGTACCACTGATGCATTTGTTCACCCTTTGTCCCTCCATTTCTGTGTCCTCCCTAACCCTCCCAAAGACAGATAAACAGACAAGACAAAAGAAAAGAAAAAAAAGAAAGAAAATCCAAAATAAAAAAGAAAGAAAATCCCTCATTTCCATTTCCCGGAGTTCATTTCAATAAATATTATTTTATCTGATCAGATGCATATAGGCATTATGCCTTTGTGTTCCCCTCCTAAGAATATCTTTCTTTGGTCTCACCGTGTATGAATGCCTAGAGTCCAGTATTATTTATCATGCCCATTTGATTTTGACTGCAAGCCATCTCATAAGAATTGGAGATGAGGGCTGGGAAGGTGGCTTGCCTTGCATGCATGAGGCCCTGGGTTTGATTCCTCAGCACCACATAAGCCAGAAGTGACGCTGTGGCTCAAGTGGTAGAGTGCTAACCTTGAGCTGAAGAGCTGAGGAACAGCGCCCAGGCCCAGAGTTCAGGCCCCACAACTGGACTCAAAAAAAAAATAATAATAATTGGAGATGACTTCATAGTGACAGCTTGTTAGGTTTGGGTTTTTTTTTTTAACTGATTAATCTCCCCTTGGAGGCCTATGATAATTTTCTGATCAATTCTACCAAGCATCTCCTCCCCCACCTGCTTAATCATGCAATTTCTAACCGTTGTCTGCCCAAGGTTTCCCCAGCCAGGAGCTCAATTCTGCTTTGTCCACATTCCTGGAAAGAACCCGAGCTCAAAGAACGGACTTTGCAAAGCTTTCTATCCTACCCCACAATATCTGGAACAGGATCAGGTAAGACAGAGGTAAATGTCAGCTTCTTTTAAGTGTGTCTGACTGTGGATTGTTGTGTGTGTGTGCATCTAACACCAATAACAAAAAGCTCTAAATGTAACCCAGTTTCAAGCTGTGGTGGTGCCATTTACCAGTTAGATTATGAGAAACAGATCACTTCCCTTCTCTAACACTTCGTGTTCTTGGCTGCAATGTGAGGGTATTGTTATCAGGTGTGCAGAATGTCTGAGACAGAGCCATGCCATGCATGTGGTGGTATGATTGGTTGACTCATAAAAGGTGACTGATTCACAACTCTCAATGGGTTGTGGGTGGACGGTAGAGGAAATAAAATACCAAAGGTAAAAAAAAAAAAAACTTCCCATGAAGAAGTTGGTGCACTTTCTGTAAAGTTGTGTGTGTATGTGTGTGTGTGTGTGTGTGTGTGTGTGTGTACATGTGTACCCATGCACATACTGGGGCTTGGACTCAGAACCTGAGCACTCTCCCTAAGCTTTTTCTTTTCTCTCAAGACTAGTGCTCTACCACTTGAGCTACAGTTCTACTTCTGGCGTGTGTGTGTGTGTGTGTGTGTGTGTGTGTGTGTGTGATATTAATTGGAAATAAGAGTCTCACAGACTTTCCTGCCCCCACCTTGCTTTGAACCACAGTCTTCACATCTCAGCCTTCTGAGTAGCTAGGCTTACAGGCATGAGCCACCAGCACCTGGCAATGTCTTTTATTTAATTGAAAAGAAAACAAAACCATCAGATGAGGAGGGGGAACTGCTGGGGGCTGAGGGATGGCTGGCCATCCATTGAGTCTTGCTGTAGACTAGTCTTAATGCTGGCAAGTCACTTACGTGACTTGTCTCACTCATGAGAATCTGGGTGTTATTGTTGTGTCCCCTTGTGCAGACATGAGCTCTGCCCAAGATTGTCCATGATGGCAAATCAAGGAACCAAAAGTCAAACTCTGGGTCCATAATTCTGCCATCCTCATGCGGCTCCATCAAATAGCTTTGAGTCCAAAGACCAGAATTTGACTGCAAGAACATTTCATGACCCCGTGTACCCGTACCAAGCATGCAGTTCTGACCCCAGCAAACTCGAAAACCCCATAATGCTTTGCTTTCAGAAGACACTTGAAAACACCTCAAAACAGTGCACTTTTAAACCATTTCATAGGAAGTCCTTGGACTCTATGCTCCAGGAGAGGCGAACAATCTTCCAGTCTGTTCTCTGATACTGTTTAAAAGCACACATAGCCCCTCCAACCAATTTTTGAGAAATGAAGCATCAGTTTTTCTGTACTTCACATATGCTGTGGCCACGGTGCCTTTTTTCTCCTGGATTTTCATCTGTCTGTTTTCTGAAATTATGACAAAAAAGGGAAGAATCTATTTTTGATGAGTACCTACTGGATCAGAAATCTATGAAGAAGATATAAATATGGATTTAGATTTAGATACAATGCAGGTGTATTTATTGATCTTTAACAATAGAATTACACTCCATTTGTTTTTTTAGTACAGACACAGAAGCAGATATAGCTATAAAGATAAATGTACATAGGGAGTATATATACCAAGAATATATACATATGTATAGATATAGATATAGATCAACAAAGGTGAGGTGGGGTTCCTACATCTGTATATATCAGAGCAAAAACTGGACCTGTTGTTTCCATGTCTAGGAATTTGTTGCAACTTCTCTTCAGGCTGTATTCCAAAGATTACAAAACCATTTCAACTGGTCGGGCTGCATTGCTCAATGAGAGTTTCCACACAAGAAAATAGTTCAGTACCTATAGCTTCTATTTCTAAAGCAGGTGTCTGTTTTCAGCTGGTGTTCTATCATTTCTACCTGTTACCACAGGTCCAAAGCAATCAGTGCTGCCAACGTTTCTGTTTGAGAGGGAGATTAAGTCAATAGCCCCAGGGTACACAGATGGTGAATTAAAGGACTAGAATCTCAACCTGCACTGTGTGAGTCCACCTCGGCTGAGCACTGCAGCCCCTTGAGCAGGAAAAAAACTCAAACATATTTAGAAGATTGCGCCATAGTCACTCCTTCCCTATTTGATCACAAGAGATATCTGAATTCACTGGGGCTGTCAGAAAATTAGAACAGAACTTCCACAGAAGTTCATTTTCTCACAGTCCTGGAGACTGAAAGTCCAAAATCTTTCTCCTCAACTTGTAGATGTCTTGGCTGTGTTCATGTGGACCTGGCATTTGCCTCTACATGAGTCAGTATCTTAATCTCCTTTTTTTTTTCTTTTTGTTTTAATGCTGTTCCTGGGGCTTGAACTCGGGGCCTGGGTGCTTGCTGTCTCAGAGCTTTTTTGCTCAAGGCTAGTGCTCTCCCACGTGAGCCACAGATCCACTTCTGGATTCTTGCTGGCTAATTGGAGATAAGAGTCTCAGTGAGTTTTCCTGCCTGGGCCAGCTTCTGTGGTCCTCAGACAGCCTCCTGAGTTGCTAGGATTACAAGTGTATGACATTAGTGCAATGCTTCTAATCTACCTTTCTTACAGGAAGAACTGTCATATTGCGTTAGGGCCAACCCTAGTGACCTCATTTTTTAACTTGATTGCCTTTTTAAAGACCCCATCTCCAAATAAAATCCTATTCAGAGTATTGGGGACTGGGACTTCAAACAATGCACATAGGAGAATGTAATCTAAAATATTAATAGATTTCTTTATTATAACCCTCTTCTTTGTTTTGGTCTTTAGCTACTTGTCTCAGTGCCAGGGATTGAATCCAGAGCTTTCTGTATGCTAGGCAAGAGCTGTATCATTGTGTGCATCCCAATCCTTGTAGTCAATTGCGTGTGTGTGTGTGTGTGTGTGTGTGTGTGTGTGTGTGTGTGTGTGTGTGTGTGTGTGCCCATCCTGAAGCATGAGCTCAGGGCCTGGGTGCTATCCCAGAGTTTTTTTTTTGCTCAAGGCTAGTGCTCTACCACTTGAGCCACAACTCCACTTCCAGCTTTTTTGGTAGTTCATTGGAGATAAGAGTTTCATGAGCCGGGCGCCAGTGGCTCACGCCTGTAATCCTACTACTCAGGAGGCTGAGATCTGAGGATCAAGGTTCAAAGCCAGCCTGGGCAGGAAAGTCCGGGAAACTCTTATCTCCAATAAACCACCAGAAAACCAGAAGTGGCTTGTAGCTCAAGTGGTAGAGTGCTAGCCTTGAGCTGAAGAGCTGAGGGACAGCACCCAGGCCCAGAATTCAAGCCCCACGACCAACAAAAAAAAAAAAAAGAGTTTCATGAACTTTCCTGCTCAAGCTGTGATCTTTAAGTCTCAGCCTCCTGAATCATAACTGTGATTACAGGTGTGAGCCACCAACACTCTGCCTTTCGTAGTCACTTTTAAAAATTAGGCTGTTTGGGGGCTGGGAAGGTGGCTCAGTGGTAGAGTGCTTATGCATGAGGCCCTGGGTTCGATTCCTCAGCACCACATAAGCAGAAAAAGCCGGAAGTGGCACTATGGCTCAAGTGGTAGAGCGCTAGCCTTGAGCTGAAGAGCCAAGGGACAGCACCCAGGCCCAGAGTTCAGGCGCCCACAACCGGCAAAAAAAAAAAAAAAAAACAAAACAAAAAAACAAAGTGGATATTTAAAAAAAAAAAATTAGGCTGTTTGTATTGCCTTTGGAGAACTATTTAAGGAAGATCTTAACATTATAGGTAGACCCACATAAAAAATTAGCAACTGAGTCTGGTGAGTTCCCACAAAATCAACTATGGAGGGAGACGGATCTAGGAAAATTTGAGCAGTAAGCTTCAAGAAGAACTCTGCTAGTTTAAATGTCAACAGGGAAGAAGCAGTAATTAAAGGCACACAGGTATGACAAAATAGGGAGAGGTGAAAACTGTCAGGCTGAAGGAATCCCATATATAAGACGTAGACAGGCATCAGCTCCAGCTGTCCGTGCTAATTTAAAATAAAGGCCGAGTGATGTTGGCTATTATTAGTTTTGTTGATCTATTCTATACATCTATCGTCAAGCCTGTTCACAAAGTGCCTTTCTTCAGCTAACATTTTCTTGTATACATCAAAAAAAATCACATGGTACCCCATAAATACACAAACTTATTAGGTACCCATTAAAATTAATAATAATAAATCTAGGCATTCATGGCTCACTCTTGTAATCCTACCTACTTAGGGGGCTGAGATCTGAGGATCATGGTTAGAAGCCAGCCCAGGCAAGAAAATCTGTGAGATTCTTATCTCCAGTGAACCAGCAAAAAGAAAAAAAAAAATCAGAAGTGAAGCTATAGTTCAAGTGGTAGAGCGCTAGCCCTGAATGAAAAAGCTAAGACATAGTGACCAGGCCCTGAGTTCAAGCCCCAATATTGGCACAAAAAAAAGAGAGAAAGAGAGCTGGGCTGTGTCTCCAGAGTAAGCATAAGTTGGAGTACAGAACCTCCAAATGATCCATTCCCAGCACAAGTATGATAGCCATAGGCCTGCCATCCTGGACTTAGATGAGAGAGAGTGGGAGGAGATATCCAGGAATGTGTACCAACCTTATGTTATAGCTACAAACCCTCCTTTCCCCTGGCATTTTGTGCTTATAATCCCTTAGTGAGGGAGGTCAATCACCATTGAAACCAATGAGGCACGCCTTCAGATTCTGGTATGCTGACACAAAGCTATCATGACCACACTGAGAAACCAGGGAAGGACATGCATCCATCCTGCAGAGGACATACCTATTGCATGGCCAACCTTCTTAAGGCAAATGGTGACTCTTTGTCCAATTCCTCAGGACCACTATGCAGTGCCTGGGGAAAGGCCGAGTTCTCTGGGGCATCTTCAAATCCAACCACAGCCTCAATCTTGCCCCTCAGCAATTGCACCACCAGCATGTATCAGGAGTTGGAGCTTCAAGGTGGAATGACCAGGAAAAACCTGAAGGATTTAACTTTGCAAGCCACGTGCTAGACTACTGGGCTCAAATGGAGAAGGTAAGTCGTGGAGAAGGCTAGATATTCTCTCGGGCTTTTTCTGGCTTTTTCATTCCATAGTCCTGTGAGCATGCTCCGCCTCTCCCCTAATTGTGCTATTTACATGGCTACTTATAAATGTCTTCATCTTCCTAAAAACCTCGATCTTTCTTCTTCTGAAGAACTTCTGATTCTATATTGCGTTCTTCTGTCTCATGATCTATTTTCCCTAGCCTAAAGTTTTCACATACCAGTTTCCTTTGCTGCTGAAGAAGATTGTTTACTGGTGTCAAGAGTCCCCACAACCATTCGATTATTCTGTTGTATATTTGATGTTTTATGAAGTTAAATAAGGGTCTAGACCTTCCTAGACCAATTTATTTCTATCCCAAACTCTAGAAGCATCTTAATTTAAAAACCAAATGTAAAATGTTGAAAGGGATGACACTGATCAAGTTATATTGTGTTCATAGACTGCTTTGTTAAAAGGCAATTCCTTTGCACAACTACTTAAAGATAATAATAAAGAATTAAACATTAAAAATAATAATAATAAATTAAAACCAAGCCAATGGCCCATACCTGTAACCCTAGCTACTCAGGAGGCTGAGATCTGAGGATTGCAGCTCAAAGCCAGCTGGGGTAGAAAAGTCCATGGGATTCTTAGTGACAATTAACCACCAGAAAACCAGAAGTAGAGCTGTGGCTGAAAGTGGTAGAGCACTAGCCATAAAAGAAAAAGCTCGAGCCAGGGGCTGGTGGCTCACGCCTGTAATCCTAGCTACTCAGGAGGTTGAGATCTGAGAATCACGGTTCAAAGCCAGCCAGGGCAGGAAAGTCCGTGAGACTCTTATCTCCAATAAACCACTAGAAAACTGGAGATGGTGCTGTGACTCAAGTGGTAGAGAGCTCGCCTAGAGCTGAAGAGTGCAGGGGCAGCGCCCCAGGCCCAGAGGTCAAGCCCCACGACCGACAAAAAAAAAAAAGCAGAAGAAAGAAAGAAAGAAGGAAGGAAGGAAGGAAAGAAAGAAAGAAAGAGAAAAAGAAAAAGCTCAGAAACAATGCCCAGGCCCTGAGATCAAACCCCTTAACTGACTAAATAAATACCAAATGTTTAGCAGTTATATTAGCCTTTTTGTTTCTATTTATTTTACTTATATTTATTTTTTGATTTACTTATTTATTGTCTTCTTTGCTTTACTATTACAGTAGTAATTATTATAATATTTAATTTATTAATATTTTTGAGCAACTGCTCTATACAGATGAAGACATTATCGTATGTGCTTTTGCTCATGAAATAACCCCTTTAAGCACTACTATCTTCTAGGTAATATTAATGGCCCCATTTCACAGATGAGAAGACTTAGGCACAGAGAGGAACCCATGGGTTAGATGGAGTTAAGACAGAACTTGAAGTCTTCCTTAAGAGACATGAAGTCTATTCATGTCCTATAGGGTTGGGGGAGGGGGAATGTTGATGGGGCCCCATCTCACTCCCCAGGTTCTTTTAAAACTATAGATGTTGTCGATGAAATCTCAGTCCTGGGGCTGTGCTCACTGCTGGAACATTAGCATGGCCCTGGGTCCTTCAGAGAAGTGCCCTTTTCTTTGGAAACAGGTACTAACACATCGTCTGCATTCTTGCCTAGGAAGGCAAGAGAGGTCCAGAACCCGCCCTCTGGTGGGTGAATGGCCAAGGCAATGAAATAAAGTGGAGCTTCAGAGAGATGTCAGACTTAACTCAACGTACAGCCAACATCCTCATGCAGAACTGTGGCCTGCAGCAGGGTGACCATCTGGCCTTGGTGCTACCTCGAGTACCTGAGTGGTGGCTAGTGACCATGGGCTGTATCCGAACAGGTCAGTGACTAAGGGGTCCCAGGGGCCCTTGGAGCTGGCCCACCCAGTCCTGTGATGTTGGGTGCTGTGCCCTCCCGCCTGGCACTGATACCGTTTTGAGACATCTGTTCAGAACACTTTTTCTTCCTGATACCTTCCTTCTGTCTTTCTGCTTCTCATGCTCTCTCATAAACACTTCTGTTTCTTCTCTCCTTCACACTAACATGCACACACACACACACACACACATACTTTCCCTTGCACAGTATTCTCAAACCTTTCCACTTTTATTTTCTTAAAAAGATTTTCCATTAGTATTTTCCTGCATTTGAGCTCTCTCTCTCTCTCTTTCTCTCTCTCTCAAATAGGATTCCTTTATGTACATGGTGACATTTACAAATACCTATAAACACAGGAGCATATGAACCTGTTATACTCCAGATGTTGCCTTTATGTAGTCATAAGGAATTGCCACACACAAGATATTGAGGTCTTTCCATTTCTTTACAAATGGTACAAATATAGTGTGTATATTTGTACACACACATGCATATCACATTTTCTAGGTCAACATTCTCTATTTATATATTATCTGTCTATCTGTTTAGCAATCCACTTACATACCTAAACTACCTGCCTATCTACCTATGTCCCTACCTGTCTATCTCTATCTCTCTTCATATTCTCTAACAAAATAGCCGGTTGACTCAACAAGATCTCGTGCAATTAACAATTAACAGCAAGGCCAAAGGATTGTAGAGAAAGAAAGCCATGTCACTCATACAGCTAAGAGATGGTGTGTGCTGATCCCTGGGAGATGAGCAGGAGGAAAGAGGCTTCAAAGCAAAGGCAGAGCAATCCAAGCCTAGGCCTGGCGTATGCAAAAGCTTCCGAGTCAGGAGCCCCTTGGTGAGGCGTGTTCATTTTGAAGTACACCCTTGAGCTGTGAAGGAGAGAGAAGGAGAAAAGGAGCGAATGGCATCCTGGACCTTCAGGTTAGGGAGAGTGATGTATTCCTGTGGCAGAAAGGTCGGTCTCGATGAATCTTGGATAGCAGGATTCAGAGGAGGGAATGGTAGAGGCTGCCAAAGGCTGGGGCTTACTGTTCGTGATGGGGATGGAACAGAAGGGAAGCAAGCTTAGAGAACATGGTGACTTACCTCGGTAGGAGAAGAAGATTCAAGACGACCTCAAGGGGCTGAGGGAAATGGAGGACTAGGCTCCATCTAGTCATGACACCATCCTCCCAGCTCTATTCCCAAATCTTATGTAAATTTGGCCAAAGCAGGCCAAAGCCCATTTGTCCCCGAGCTGGGTGTCTCTCAAGTGAAAAGGGTAAGGCGGGAATTTCCTTTTTTAAAATGATTTTTTAAAATTGTTTTTATAAAGGTGATGTACAGAGGGGTTACCATTTCATAAGTCAGGAAATAAACACATTTCTTTTAGGGCTTTCCTTTTTTATTTTTTTGTGCTGGTCCTGGAGCTTGAACTCAGTGCCTGGACGCTGTCCCTGAGATTCTTTGTTCCAGGCTAGTGCTTTTCCACGTAAGCCACAGCACCACTTCTGGCTTTTGCTGAGTAGTTTATTGACAATAAGAGTCTTTTTTTTGGGGGGGGTGTCCAGTTGTGGGGCCTGAACTCTGGGCCTGGGCGCTGTCCCTCAGCTCTTCAGCTCAAGGCTAGCGCTCTACCACTTGAGCCACAGCGCCACTTCTGGCTTTTTTCTTTTTGCTTATGTGGTGCTGGGGAATCGAACCCAGGGCCTCAGGCATGCAAGGCAAGCGCTCTACCACTGAGCCACCTTCCTAGCCCCAACAATAAGAGTCTTACAGACTTTTCCTGCCCGGGCTGGCTTTGAACCAGCATCTTCAGATCTCATCCTCTGAGTTGCTAGGGTTACAGGCATGAGCCAAGCCACCAGTGCGTGGTTTAGGGCTTTCCATTTTTTAACATAGACAGGCATCACCTGGAAATCTTGTTAAGATGCAGCTGCAGTTGATTTGGCCTTGGGTGTGAGATTCTGCCTGTATGGAGCATCCTTTGGCTATCAAGTAGTTAGGAGATTTGTCTACAGGCGAGCCAGGCCCAAAACCCATGGCTATAAACAGGATATGAAAACATACAAGGTTTTCTTTCTCCTCAACAGGGGTCATCTTCATGCCTGGGACCAGCCAGCTGAAAGCCAAGGACATTCACTACCGACTCCAAGAGTCTAAAGCCAAAGCCATCGTAACAACAGAGACCCTTGCCCCAGAGGTGGATTCTATAGCTTCTGAGTGCCCTGCTCTGAAATCCAAGATCCTGGTGTCAGACCAAGGCCGTGAAGGGTGGCTGGACTTCCGGTCTCTGATTAAGTGAGTTTCTGCTCTGATGAATGTGGTTCTCGGCTTTGTCACTGACTGGCTGTGTGACCCTGGGCATTTTCCTTCCCTCCCTGATTCTTAGTGTTTGACATGTAACGTGAGAAAGTTGGACATATGCGTCCATCATTAATATATACTCAGTACTGAAATGGCACAAAGAAAAACTGTAAAATAACCATGTATTCGATATGGAATATAATTTTTATATAAAAATATACCTGTGACTTGGGGCACTTAGGGCTCATACCTGTAATCCTACTTTACGCAGGACGCTGAGATCTGAGGATCCCAGTTCAAGACCAACCCAGGGCAGGAAAATCCATATGAGACTCTTATCTCCAATGAACCACTAGAAAACCAGATGTGGCATTGTGGCTCAAAGTAGTAGAGCACTAGCCTAGAGCAAAAGAGCTCAGGGTCAGCGCCCATAGCCTGAGTTCAAGCCCCACAACTAACACAAAAGAAAAAGAAAGAAAAAGAGGCTGAGAGCCAAAGAAAAGTTCCTGAGACTCTTATTTCCAATTAACCAGCAAAAAAAAAATCAGAAGTGCAAGTGTGGCTCAATTGGTAGAGTACCAGCCTTGAGCGAAAAAGCGAAGCAAGAGCCCAAGGCCCTGAGTTCAAACTGTACCAGCATCAAAGTAAACAAGTGTAGTGATTATATAAATCTTCCTCAATTTGTCTTTCTCATCACCCCTCAACACTAAGGCCATAGTGTTCAATTCGTCTCACTGTAGCTTGTGGGAAACTAAGCCAAAAAAGCTTAACTATATGATTAAGGGCAAGTACCACTATAGCTCAGACTGTGTGTGGGTTTGAATCTTGGTTCTGCCACTTGCAGGCTAGGTGTCTTCAGGTAAATTACTTACCATCTCTGAACCTCAACTTCTTTATCTGCAAAACAGGCATGATTAAAGTATGCATACTTCCTGGAGTTGATCTTGAGGAATGAATGAGTTCCTGTCAGTAAATCACCTAGAGCATCACCCAGAAAGATTAAGTTAAAGTTAAATCTAAAGATTTAACTAATCTTTAGGTGGTTTTTTTAATCCATTATATTTCCACAGTTTTCCAATCCTAAAGACATGTCAATCCACTCACCCTGACTGTCAGTGTACAGCCTGATCTTGAGAGAAACTTCAAGCCTTACATACCTCCGGATTCCCAATCCTATATCTTAGCATTTTGTCCTTTGCTTCCCTTCCCTTAAGAGAGAAAAACAACAAGCATGACTTGTTTCTTTTATCTTGTTCCCTGAATCTCTTTGTAGATCAGCATCCCCAGAACATACCTGTGTCAGGTCAAAGGTAGAAGATCCCATGGTCATCTTCTTCACCAGCGGCACCACAGGCCTCCCCAAGATGGTGAAGCACAATCAAGGACTTGCCTTGCGATCCTACCTCCCTTCGTGGTAGGAAGACAGCTGTGCCTTAGAGGTTGGGTTCCAGATCTGGGTGTGAGGATGGTAGGGCAGGGAACAGAGCTCCAAATGGAAGTCCCTCCATCCTCTTTCCCCTATCTGCTCTCTGATTCTACCTCTGAGGGGGTTGAGAGTTAATGATGTGGAATCCCGAAGGTTTGCTCACAGAGGCCTCGAGAAAACAGAGATTTGGGGGGTTCCTACCAGACCTCCTTCACAAGAGGGAGCATCCTGCAGCCCAAACTCATACATGACAGTGTGTTCCTTGGCTGTGATTCTCAGGTTTTGGTGGGAAAAGACAGAATATTCTAGCAAACCTGCATCTTGATGAGGCCTCTTCCTCTTCATTATCTTGGGAAATAAGACTTCAGAGTTTCCCAATCATGAGCTGCTAAGGGAAGAAACTGGGTAACACCAAATCTGCCTCACCCTTGATCAGAGAATACACGAAGGCTGATCATCAAGCCTTGGATTCATCCTTCAATCAATTATAAGTTAACATTCTCGTCCCTGCCCCTACCCTTCCTCCTGTTCAACCAGGAATGTTCAGAACAGGTCAAGTTCTATGTGTTTTCTAACTTATAAACCAGAACAAGAGCAAAGAGTTCTGTAGGCAGGAGGTATGAGTGCTAATGGACACAGTTGAGTAGTAAGCAATCCTGGTGGTGAGAAAAGAGAAAGGATCCTGGACCCTGGCTCTGTCAAGGTATTCTAATATTTATATAATTATCGCAATGATATATGCAAAGGAAAAAAAGACATACTAAGTGATGCCATAGAATTACAGAGTTTGGAGAAGAGTGTCGAGGGTGTAGGATGAAGGACCAAGAGGAAAATTTTGAGCCACATTTTACAAGATCTGGATGTAGAGTTTGGATCTTTGTAGGAAGACATTGGCGATATATTGTAAGGGCTTCAGTAAGGGAAGGAAACATGGTCAGATACGGATTTCTAAAAAGCCATCATGGTAGCTGGACGTCTGTGGTTCACCTCTGTAATCCTAGCAGCTCAGCAAGCTGAGATCTGAGGATCTCAGTTCAAAAGCCAGCTCTGGCAGGAAAGTCTGTGTGACTCTCATCTCCAAAAAAAAAAAAAAACTTGAAGTGGAGCTGTGGCTCAAGGGGTAGAGTGCTAGCCTTGAGCAAAAAAAAGTGCTCAGGAAAAGCACCCCAGGCCCTGAGTTCAAGCTCCAAGTAAACACACACACACACACACACTCCATTGTGGCTGCAGAATGGAGAAGGGACAGAGACAGAATGGAGGAAGGGACAGCAGGTAGCACAGCTTCTTCAGGGGCAAGACAGTTGGTGTTCTGGAACAGGTGACTGAGATGTGGAGGTTTAACACCTTGAGACTTGGAGATGGAGTAGGAAGGACCTGCTAGCTAAATGTGGGGAATAAGGACTGGGGTGTAGGGTTACCTTCCAGTTGTGAGGTTTGGGCAGTGATGATATCCACGGGAAAGAACACTAGAGAAGAACAGGTTTCAAGAGAGGCCAGAAAGATTAAGATCTCTAGGCTTAGGGTGCCCGAGAGCTATCAAGAAATGGTGTTCAATGGGGAATAGGGTCTGAAGCTAAAGAGCCAGGACCTCTATGCTTGTTAGTGTCCTTGCCAAGGGGGGGGATATTAATTACATCTCTTCTCTCCCTTCCTCATTCTATTGCCTTGTTGCAAACAACAGAAAGCTCATTCAGACTCCATTTAAGCCCAAAAGCAAACAAGGAAATGTACTACTAGCTGTTGAACTAGAGCCGTGTGAAGTCTGACTTCACCTGTGGGCTCCAGGTTAGACTCCAATCTGCCCATCCCTCTCTCTGCTCTGTTGCAGCTCTGTTCTCAGAAGGGCTCCAAAATAGCTGCCTGCCCTGCCTGGAACTGTCCATAACAGACACAGGTGTTGCAGAACTAACCACACACTCTGTCCTTGGCTCTCCTAGCAAAGGCCTTCGGGGTCAATAGCACTAAGTCTGTTTCAGTCGCACATAACCAGGAAGTGAGTGGCAGGGCATCTTTGGGACCCCGGTGGGTTTTCCTCTGGAGACGGCAGGCATTAAATTCACTGAGGGGGAGCTGCTGGTCCCCCAGCTGAAAACCAGTTTCCCCAGCCCTGCCCCAACCCTCCCATGGTAGCACCACTGAGGCCACTGTATCTTGGAGTTAGCAGGAAATTATTTCAGTTGAGGACGACGGATGTCTTATGGTGCATGTCAGACCCAGGCTGGATTCTGGCTACCGTTGGATGCCTACTGGAACCATGGACAGCGGGGTCTACGGTCTTCATCCACCACCTGCCTCAATTTGATCCCCAGGTCATTATACAGGTAAGAAGAGCAACCTTCCAGTATCAAATAGCTCCCACAAGTTGAGCATCAATGGCTCATGCCTGTAATCCTAGCTACTCAGGAGGCTGAGATCTGAGGATCCTAGTTGAAGGCCAACCCAGGCAGGCAAATCTGAAAGGCTCTTATTCCAAAGAACCACCAAAATAGCCAATTGTGGAGATGTGGCTCAACTGGTAGAGATCTCGCTTTACGGGAAAAGTAAAAGAGAGCTCAGTGTCCTGAGTTCAAGCCCAAGTACTAGCACCAAAAAAAATAAATAAACCTCCTAGAAGAAACTCATGTTCACAAGCCAAAAACCAAACTCCTCCTCTAAGAAGATTTTGTTAAGCAAAGAAATCCATACGGTTAAAATAATCCTGTTTCTGGAATTCTCACAGTATAGGATACTGAATTAATAATTATAGTATCAGAATCACATTTTAAAAAAAACAGAGCCCTGTGTCAGAGGCTCCCACCTGTAGTCTTAACTACTCAGAAGGCAGAGATCTGAGGATTATGATTCAAAGCCAGCACAGGCAGTAAAAGTCCATGAGATTCTTATCTCTAACTACAAAAACCAACCAGTGGAGCTGTAGCTCAAGTGGTAGAGCACTTGCCTTGAGCAAAAGAGTTTAGGGACAGTGTCCAGGCCCTGAGTTCAAACCCCAGTACTGGCACCAAAAATAAAATAAAATAAACCATAGCCTGGAAGAAAAGGCATATTTCTGGGCCATCCTCTAGCTCAGACTTGTTGATTATGAGACCCTGAAGATGCACTATGAGATATTAAAGCAATTCCAACAAGTTTGAGTCTTCTGAATCCTGGACCCTACTCTATTCAGTCCTCCTTGACAGATCCATAGGGAGGGACTTTTCATAGGGGGTGCCCTACCCCACCCCCAAAACCAGTAAGCACCAAGAGGAGTCACAGATTACAGGCTGCTTGAGCTACTGAGCCTCAGGCTCTGGGAGAGGCTCAGAGGAGTTGACCTCTAATTGATCTCTAATCCTTAACTTATTCTAGAGCTGTCAGCCACAAGAATCCACTTCAAAGTTGTTTAAGTAAGAAAGGAACAGAGCACCTCCTTGATTTAAGATTAGGTCCTGATAAGCCCATTAAGCAACAGAAACACCCAAAGTTGAAAGTGCAGTTAAAACACCTAGCTTAGCAACCCAGCCCATCCATTGTTTTCCCCTTGGTTGCCAGGCAACGGGGAATCTCGACTCACCTCTGCCATCCAGCAGTGTTAAGACAGGTTCTTAAGTACAAGGTTCACCCCGGAAATGCAAACTTCTATAAGTGTGCTATTTAATTTACGTATTTTTCTCACCACCATCAAGTAAGAAAAACAAAACAAAACAAAAAGTCATCAAATCATACCACCATAATCCAGGGACTACCAGGGTATAGGAGGGGGGAGGCGGGGAGGGGCATGACCATTGGAAGAAGAAGAAAACAAACACTGAGCTCATGAGTATTTGAAACAATTGCAAGCTATCAGGAATCCAGGCAGCCTCTGCACCTCCCCTGCTTTTCTCTGGGTCTCTCTGCTCTCTTCTTTCTATTTGTAGACCCTACTTTTAGGTCTTAACATGACAAAGCTGACCAGAGCAACCACAGCATTTCTGGTGGAGATCCACATGACCGGGGCAGATGGACTAGATATTCTAAACAGCCACAGCCTAAGTCAATTCTCTGCTACCAAGCCATTAATTCCACCCCATCTGCCAGGGGCTGGGGTAGAGACACCTGTCCAGCTAGTGTGGGAGAAAGAGGGGTGTGAGGATCTGGAACTGCACGCCTTCAGGTGGGAGCTGCAGGTGGGTTATGGGTCAAACCAAAGGTTGCAAGGAAAAGCCATGCACGGGTGGCACAGGCCTATAACCCTAACTCTTCTGGAGGCTGAGATCTGAGGATCATGGTCCAAAGCCAGCCCAGGCAAGAAAGTCCATGAGTCTGTGAACTCCAATTAACCACCGAAAAGCCAGAAGTGGAGCTGTGGCTCAAGTGAGAGAGCATCGGCCTTGAGTAAAAAATGCTAAGGGAAAGTGTCCAGGCCCTGAGTTCTAGCTGAATTTTGTGCTGGCAACACACAAAAAAGGACTGATTTACAATGAGGATATAAATGTGGGATTTTTGTTGTTGAGGCTGAAGACAGAGGTTCGAAGCTATCCAGGTCCAGGGTGACTGGAAGCAGAATGCACCCAGGGGTCTCAATATGCCCCAGAACGACTCTGCATGGAAAATATACAGATAGTTCCGCTTTGAATGCAGGAAACAGACTTGCGGAGAAATGAAGCAATGGGATGTCAAGGCAGACCAGATGAACCCCGAAGTCTATATTCTCTCCTCTCTGCTGTTCCTCGCTCTTTTAGTCTACCTCCATCCCGATCTGAAATTCTGGAGACTGAATTCCAGACGAACTCCAACTAACTGGAGTCTTTCTACACCTACCTCTTGCTTCTCTTCCCTCTATGTACGAAAGTGGATTTTATTGGACTTCACGATCTTTTTCCTGCTAGAATCTATTCTATGTAAGGCCTAGAACATTCTCTCACTCTTCCTGCATTAACCTGACTTGGTGCCCCCTGTGAAATGCCAGCTTAGTAGGTAGATGTTGAACGAATTAAAACAGGAGTAAATGCGGTCTCCTAGAGGGGAAATCAGGATTGAGATGGTAATGATTGGTGAGGTTTTTAGCTTCAACTATATAACAAAGTTCTCCCTCCCTTTTCAGACACTATTCAAATATCCTGTCACTCAATGCCTTGCTGCACCCGCTGTGTACCGAATGATTCTTCAGCAGAAAGAAGCCAAGTACGTGGCAATGGCTGGTGATAGCAATCTCTGGGTGGGATGTGAAGGAATTGATGTGTTGTGGTTTGATTGGTTTGCCTTGGATCTTTTAAGGGCAGTGATGTGTGTGTGTGTGTGTGTGTATTTGTGTGTAAGTGTGTGTATGTGTGTGTGGTGTGATGATTATCAGTCTAAGTAGGTAAATCAACACACAGCCCAGAGACCCAGAGAGACACTCAATGAGTCTTGCATTATTCTAAAAATTATTCCAGAGTTGGAGACATGGCTCAGGTGGTAAAGCACCAGTCAGTGAGCAAAAACCAGTCAGATAGTGTGAGTCCCAGCCTCAGACAAAAATTAATTAATAAATACATAACATATATGATTCCAATGTTTTCCTCATGAAAGAACTACATGCAAAGCACTATTGGAACCAGATGCTGGCGGCTCACACCTGTAATCCTACTTACTCAGGAGGCTGAAATCTAAGGATTGCAGTTCAAAGCCAGATTTGAGGAAAAAGAAAAAGTTCAGAGACAGCACCCAGACCCTGAGGTTCACACACACACACACACACACACACACACACCATTCCCTCTTAGCCACATACGATGCTTCCTTGAGTTTGGGTAGACCTAGTTTTCTCTCTTATTGTAATCCAACTTTAATCCAGACTTCCTTGATTTAATTCAATCCCATCTCCATCTCTACCACTCACTCACCCCCTTCCAGAAGCGCTAACCCAGACTGACAGGAAGGGAGGGACATACACTTGACTTTGACCATCGTTAAACTGACCAGAAGGTGATAAGAAAGATAGCAGACATAGCAGAGGATGAATGACCCGACCGCAGAGCCCTGAGCATCTGCCTGCGCTCAAACCACAGCTTACATATTTGCTCCGCCCTCCCCAAGCCTCAAGTTTCCAACCCTGGAGCACTGCTCTACCGGTGGAGAGACCCTGTTGCCTGAGGAGCAGGAGCAGTGGAAGAGCCGCACCGGCCTTCTGCTGCATGAGATCTACGGGCAGTCGGAAACGGTAGGCGACTGGTGGGAGCATGGCTGCTGCCGGGGTCATTCTTACCATACACAAGCACTGCCCATGGTCAGCAGGGGTCACCAGAGCTCAGGGCTCATTTGTCCCAAGTCAGCTCTCAGAAAGGCAATTCACGTGGCTGGGAAGGTGGCTTAGTGGTAGAGTACTTGCCTAGCATGCATGAAGCCCTGGGTTCGATTCCTCAGTACCACACAAACAGAAAAAGCTGGAAGTAGCATTGTGGCTCAACTGGTAGAGCGCTCGCCCTGAGCAAAAGAAGCTCAGGGACAGTGCCCAGGCCCTGAGTTCAAGAAAGAAAGAAAGGGAAAATGTACAGTTCATCAGTAAACCAAAGAAAAAAAGAAAGAGAAAATTTACAGTTCATCAGTAAACCAAAGAAAAAAAGAAAGAAAGAAAGATAATTTACAGTATATGGGGTGGGTGGGTGTGTTTATATATTAAATAATTAATAGTATGTATTTATGTTTGTTTATATTAATTTATATTATAAATATATTTTATATTTATTATATGTAACATGTATATTATGTGTAAATATACACATATATGCCAGTTTTGATCTTGTCACTGTGTCTGTGATTGTCAGCCCAGTGGCTCATGGGACAGGAGGCTCTCTCCCAAGAAGGGAAACAGGCCAACAGATACCATCAACCCACTGTCCCTTCCCAGCACAGAGGTAGCTGGGAGCTGGGGATCGGGTGGTTCAGTGGACAATACATCAGTTTGACTGCACAATACTAGGGGTAAGTGAGGGAATGGGCTAGCTGTGTACAGCAAACACACATATACACATGCCCCCCCACACATACACACAACTGGATCCCTGAAGGTCACTGAGCCCCCAGGTGGGGGATCATGAGAAGATTAGGCAGGCCTTGGATCTGAATGACTTTATCAGTGACAGGATGAGGAAGCTTCTCCCTACACAAGGTTCCATTGCTGATTTTGTCCAGACCTACTTTGCCTAACTTGTGTGTGTGTGTGTGAATGTGTGTGTGTGTGTGTGTGCACATGCAAACACACTGTTACAAGGACTTGAACTCCAAGACCGGATGATGTCCCTGAGCAACTTTGCTCAAGGCCAACACTCAATTACTCAAGCCATACTTCTACTTATGGATTTTTCTTCTTTCTTTTTTTTGGGGGGGTCCAGTCGTGGGGCCTGAACTCTGGGCCTGGGCACTGTCCCTCAGCTCTTCAGCTCAAGGCTAGCACTCTACCACTTGGGCCACAGCGCCACTTCCGGCTTTTTTCTTTTTGCTTATGTGGTGCTGAGGAATCGAACCCAGGGCCTCATGCATGCAAAGCAAGCACTCTACCACTGAGCCACCTTTCCAGCCCCTACTTATGGATTTTTGATGAAAAATTGGAGCTAAAGGTCTTATCTTTTCTGCCTGCACTGGCTTCAAACAAGGAGCCTCAGCTCTCAGCCTACTCAGTAGCTAGAATTACAGGAATGGGCTATCCACACATTTACATGACCCCTCTAGTTAACAGAGGTGTGTCTACCATCTTCAACCCTGTAACAGATGGACTATTTTAGTTACAGTTCACATCATTGAATGGCCTTGTTATTTTCAAAGACAAAAAGTTCAGTGAACTGACAGTTCACACCTATAATCCTAGCTCCTCAAGAGGCTAAGACTTGAAGAGCATGGTTCAAAGCCAGCCCAGGCAGAAAAGTCCATGTGGTTCTTGTCTCCAATTAACCAACAAAAATTAACCAGAAGTGGAGGTGTGGCTCAAGTGGTAGAGCACCAGTCTTGAATGAAAAAGCTAAGCATAGGATCTTGACTTCAAGCTCCAATACAAGAGAAAGGAAGGAAGGAAGGAAGGAAGGAAGGAAGGAAGGAAGGAAGGAAGGAAGGAAGGAAGGAAGGAAGGAAGGAAGGAAGGAAGGAAGGAAGGAAGGAAGGAAGGCAGGAAGGAAGGAAGGAAGGAAGGAAGGCAGGAAGGAAGGAAGGAAGGCAGGAAGGAAGGAAGGAAGGAAGGAAAGAAGGGCAGTTAGTTCACTGAATTGATCTGCTTCCAGGCCTGAGAAGTGATAAGATAACAAGCCTCCTGTTGAATGTTCCTGTTTATATTTGGATAAAGAGGAAGTTGGTGAGAATAGCAGGCTTTACCCAAGGCTTCAGTCCCTTTGCATCAACTATTTGTGGCAAGTGGTGCTTTCTTTCTGTTCACTCATCCTTGCAGTAATACCTGCAGGAAAAAGGAAAAAGCCTCTTCTCCCAGGAGCTCAGGTCTAAGTCTTTGTCCTGTCCATCATAGACTTCAGGCAGAACCCTCGTTCTAACCTTTCAATCTTGGTGACTCTTAGAGTTCCCACCTCTGTAGCGGAGAGCATAAGGTCAGTCTTTCAGGACTGTGATAGGTCAGTGACATATGTCAATCACTGTCCAGCCCACAGTACCCATGTGTGGTGAAGTTATGGTGGTGTCCATTGCTTTTGGTAGATACGATGCTAGGTGCTGGCGGGGCAGACAGATATGGGACAATCCTGTTCTTAATTCTATAAGAGAAGGACTAGACAGGGAAATTACTGTAGAAGGAGAATGCTCAAATGACTTTTGAGGGATTCCTATTATTCATTCCCTAATCATTTGGTGTGCAGAGTTGCCACACATTAGCTGGGTGCCAGTGGCTCACACCTGTCATCCTAGCTACTCAGGAGGTTGAGAGCTGAGAATCAGTTCAAAACCAGAGAAGTCTGTGAGACTCTTATCTCCAGTTAATTAGCAAAAAGTTAGAAGTGGGGCTGTGGTTCAAGTGGTAGGACACCAACCTTGAATGGAAAAAAGCCAAGCAAGAGCACAGCCCTGAGTTCAAAACACACACACACACACACACGTGCACAACACCAGAGCAATGTTGCTATTATCGCCTCCTTGGCAGAGTTGGAGATCAGCTAGCATTAGCACACAGAATTGGTGGGCAATCCCCTGTGTGCTATAGAAAGGACAACAATGAGACTGTAAAGACGGGTTCAAGTTCACGGGGAAGACACAAGGGAGGGAAGCAGGGGAGCCACACAGATAGTGTCATAGCCCAGCCTTGAGAAGAAGTTGAGGCAAAATTCGGGTCATCATTCAGAAGCCAGGTACAAGCATTGTCCAATGATCTCCTGGCCTTCCTCTCTGGCTTATAGTGGACACTGCATATCCCCCATGACTAGTCAGGATGAGTCCCTCCTTCCTTCACCTCCAGCAATATGACACACACACCCAACCCAGCCCAGCTTAATAGAGTTGGGTCAGTGTCTTGAGCCTTCTTTATTCAGCAGTCAGTGCCATCCGTTCCTTTTGGGGTGGAGGGGAGTCCTGTGATCCATCTAAAATCTTTGGCCAACCTCAATTCCTCTTTTCTTTGTAACCAGGGCATCGCCTGTGGCGTTTCCCGGGGAATGAAGACCAAGCTGGGTTCCATGGGGAAAGCCATCGCACCCTTTGAAGTCCAGGTCTGTTCCTGGAGGCCTTGGCAGGTAGCAATTAGGGCTCAGCTGAGCTGGAACTCTTATGTGAGATGAGGTTGGTGAACCAGCCAGTTTTCCTTCCTTTCCTCTCCCTATTCTTTCTTCTTTTTCTCTGGAAGCTTTGAGTGAGAGCTGTTCTATTTGGGTACAAATACAGCTCAGATGGTTGCCAGAGACATCATAGCATGGGGAGGAAGAGGCACTGACAATTTTCTGTATCAAATAGTGCCATTTTTTGTCAGTCATGGGGCTTGAACTCATGGCTTGGGCACTGTCCTTGAGCTCTTTTGCTCTCTACCACTTTGAGCCACAGCACCATTTCTGATTTTCTGGTGGTTAATTGGAGATAAGAGTCTCATGAACTTTCTTGCCCAGGCTGGCTTTGAACCACGATCCTCAGATCGCAGCCTCCTGAGTAGCTAGGATGACTGGCACCTTTTCTTTTCTTGATCAGTGTTTTCCAGTTTGAAAACACATTGGGGATAGACTCACCACCATCCCTCTCCTACCCATTTCCCATTGAAGCAAGTAAACCTTTGACTTTTATGCTTTACCAGAATCCTGATGATTTCATTCTATAGTCTGACATAATTCCTCTATCATTGTCCTGGTGTGATCTTGCTGGTGTCTCATGAACAAGCCAGGCAATGCTCTGGTGGCACAGAAGGTATTGGGGGGAGGGATGTCTTCACACAAGCTTCTCGCTCCAGATCATCGATGACAAGGGCAATGTCCTGCCTCCCGACACCGAAGGATACATCGGCATCAGGACAAAGCCTGTCAAGCCCGTGGGCATCTTTGAAGGCTATGAGGTAAGGGCGCCGCGTCCACCGCCACCCTGGATCTAAGGATTCCTGGGAGCAGCTGTGACAAACAAGACTCCCGCTATGGTGGGAATTTTACTCTCATGTAGTGGCAGACAAAAGTGAACTGTTATTACAAATGTCGCTAAAGTTGACTTATTATCCATCACTAATCAGTCAGTGGTATATATGGAACACTTCCATGTAATGAAAGAAGACTCAAAGGAATTACAAAACGTGTGCAGGTCCCAGGTTCCGTCAGGGGCAGATCACCGCCTTCAAAAAAAAAAAATTTTTTTTTAAGGCGGAGGTTAATTCTTGCTGGGCACCAGTAGCTCACGCCTGTAATCCTAGCAACTCAGATAGCTGAGATCTGAGGGTCACAGTTCAAAGCCCAGCCCAGACAGGAAAGTCTATGAGACTCTTGTCTCCAAGTAACCACCAAAGAGCCAAAAATAGAGTTGTGGCTCCAAGTGGTAGAGTGCTAGTGTTGAGCAAAAAAATAAAAGCTCAGCATCAGCACCCAGGCTCTGAGTTCAAGCCCCAGGACCAGCACACAAAAAGGGACTCATAAAACATATGAAAACATGGGGCTGGGAAGGTGGCTCAGTGGTAGAGTGCTTGCCTTGCATGCATGAGGCCCTGGGTTTGATTCCTCAGCACCACATAAACAGAAAAAGCCAGAAGTGGTGCTGTGGCTGAAGTGGTTGAGCACTAACCTTGAGCTGAAGAACTGAGGGACAGCACCCAGGCCCAGAGCTCAGGCCCCATAACTGACAAAATGAAATAAAAGAAAATAATTTAAAAATTTAAAAAAAAACATATGAGAACAAATACAGGGTCATATGCATATGTACGCAAACACATTGACTAAAGTGTAGTCTATGCAGCAGAGGGTTGCAATGGTGTAACACCTTCAAACAACTGTCAGCGTCACCAAGCACCAGGAGACTGAAGCATGCGTTGTCAGAAGTGGGGAGAGCAAGGGGAGGGGTACAGAGGAATAGAGAGAGGAAGGGTAGACAAATGCAGGCATAATATTCAATATGCATATGCGGAAATGGAAGCAGGTCACTTGAGGGGAGGGATGGGGTTGGGAGAGAGGGGGGAGAAGAGATGGAAGAGGAGGCATGGATCAAGATGCATTGAATTCACAAGCTGTCATGTTGAATGGAAACCCCTTTGGGCAACTACTGAAGGGTAATTAACTAGTTAAAGATATGAGAGAGAGAGAGAGAGAGAGAGAGAGAGAGAGAGAGAGAGATTCTGTTCTCTTTGCAGAATAACCCAGAGAAGAATTCAGAAGTGCAATGTGGAGACTTTTACAATAGTGGGGACCTAGCGAAGATGGATTCCGAGGGCTACATCTGGTTCAAGGGGCGGGGAGACGATATCATCAATGCTTCCGGGTAGGTGCAACTCCCTCTGCCCTGTCTTCACACCCTGCCGTCTGACAGCCTGACCTGCCTCTGTACCTTAGTGATAAGACCCTCAGCCTGACTCTAAGCAATCAGCTCTGTGGTTCCTTGTTCCTTTGGTATCTGGCCATGTCCCCTCCCCTTGTCCAACAGAATCAACCAAAATGAAGTTTCAAAGGCTCTGGATATAGTCAGAAGGACTAAGGAAGGAGACTGTTGAGTTGGGGAAGTTTCCAGTGTGCTTGTGTTCCAGGAGAGACACAATGATGGTCATAAGCATAGCTGGCCTTGGCTGGCCGCTGGTGGCTCATGCCTGTCATCCTAGCTACTTGGGAGGCTGAGATCTGAGGATCACAGTTTGAAGTGAGCTTGGGCAGGAAAGTCCAATTAACCACTAAAAAGCCAGAAGTGGAGCTGTGGCTCAAGTGGTACAGCACTAGCCTTGAGAAAAACAGTCTCAGGGACAGCACTCAGCCCTGAGTTCAAGCCTCAGGACTGGCACAAAAAGAAAAGAAATAGCTCATCTTTAAGGAGTTCTTATGGTATGAAAGTCTTTTCCTGGGGGCTTTGAGCACTCACCTCTTAATCCTGCCAGTGAGATGCTACATTGAAATACAGAACACATTATTGTCTGCCCTGCTTTGAAGCTGAACAACAGGATCCATTCTTAGCTATTCAATCTCCAATATGCTGTTACCATTTGCACTGGGAATTCACTGAGAAAGTAGATTCAGAGAGCTCTTTCTATACGTTAGGACTCTGCATAATCTATTGCTCCTCGCTCTGTGAGAGGATGGACTATGTTCATTTGTCTGACCACAGTATAATTTCACTATTATACTTAAAACATCACTTTGCACACTTAAAATATAGATGCCAACCAGGCACCGGTAGTTTGTGCCTGTAATCCTAGTTAGGAGGCTGAGATCAGAGGATCATGGTTAGAAGTTGACCTAGGGGGCTGGGAAGGTGGCTCAGTGGTAGAGCCCTTGCCTTGCATGCAAGAAGCCCAGGGTTCGATTCCTCAGCACTACATAAGCAAAAAGAAAAAAGCCGGAAGTGGCGCTGTGGCTCAAGTGGTAGAGTGCTAGCCTTGAGCTGAAGAACTGAGGGACAGCGCCCAGGCCCAGAGTTCAGGCCCCACAACTGGATCCAAAAAAAAATTTTTTTTAATTTAAAAATAAAAAAGAAGAAGTTGACCTAGGGCAGAGAAATCCAAGTCCAAGAGACTCTCTCTCTAAAAAAACATGGACTGGAGGCATGGCTCAAGTGGTAGAACACCAGCTCTGGGCTAAGCAAGCAAGTTTAAAGCCCTGAGTTCAAAACCTGATACTGCCAAATATATATACACACACCACAACACACCAGGAAAAACCTGAGCCAGGCGTTTTTAGCACAGAATGTCCACATCTTCACGTTTTGAGCCCCAGACACCTCATCCTCTGCATCAAGCAGAGATTAAGACTTGGGGCACCCCAGCCCCGGCATCTGCCCCAGAGCCCATGCCTCTCCAGGTACCGCATTGGACCGTCGGAGGTGGAGAATGCCTTGGCTGAGCACCCAGCGGTGGCAGAGTCTGCGGTAGTGAGCAGCCCGGACCCAAGGCGAGGGGAGGTGAGAAGAACTGGACTGATAGGCCCAGAGCTGGGCATGCAGATGCTCCCTGCCCTTCCTTGCATCTTCGGGCCACAGGTGGAGGAAAGGCAGGGTGCACTTACACAATATGGTCACCAGGGGGCGCAGTGGCCTCAACTGCGGTTCTGAATGTGATGACCTTGACTTTGAATGGTGATGAAATTGGCTGGTGTTCAGGACGACACAAGCCCCAGTACCCAATCTCTCCATGCTCAAAGCCCAATAACTGGGCTGGGAAGGTGGCTCAATGGTACAATGCTTGTTTTGCATGCATGAGGCCCTGGGTTCGATTCCTCAGCACCACATAAACAGAAAAAGCTGGAAGTGGCGCTGTGGCTCAAGTGGTAGAGAGCTAGCCTTGAACAAAAAAAGCTCAGGGACAGTGCCCAGGCCCTGAGTTCAAGCCCCACAACCAAAAAAAAAAAAAAAAAAACAACAATAACTGTACCTTTCCTTATGCTTAAAGTAAGGGAAGTAAAAAGGGGATAAAAATTGACTAACAGAACATAGAATATAGAAGGACTGCATCTTCAGAGCTTGTATCCATTGATTCTATAAGTAGCATACCTTCTATGTGTGAGAACTTGTGCAAGCAAAGAGGGAGATAATATATAATATATACATGTTATGAATTATTATATAATATATTCATATATTGTATATGATTATATCTAATTTTATATCATATATAATATGAGCATATTATATAATATAATCCCTAATATATAATTTATAAATAAATAATGTATCATATATAATTAATATATAATGTATAGTGATATTAATATATAGCTGTTTATATATCATAAATATATTATATAATATCAAAGTGATAATGACAATGGTGACAGTAGTACTAATTTCAGCAGCTCAGATATTTAGCATGCTTTTGGGGTTTGGGGGTGTGGGATTTGGGGGTGGTGAGGTTTTGTTGTTGTTTGTGCCAACCCCTGGGGGTTGTCCCTGAGCTCTTTGCTCAAGGCTAGTGCTCTACCACTTGAGCTACAAGCTCCATTTATGGCTTCTTGGTGGTTAATTGGAGATATGAGTCTCACAGACTTTCTTGCTCAGGCTGGCTTTGAACCCTGATCCTCAGATTTCAGCCTCCTGAGTAGCTAGGATTGCACCCAGCTTCTGATACATTTTCCATGAAATGTGAACAGAATATTTTCAGATCCCCCTAGGAAGGATGGACTTTATTGTCCCCATTTCTCCAAAGAGGAAATGGAGCCCAGGAGAAGTCAAGATGTTTTCTAGGTCATGGATTGGCAATGGGAAAGAAAAGGATTTGACCATGATCCTCTCCTTCCTGGAAGACCTTCTGCCTTTGACCATTATAGGCTCAAGCATGCATTCACATTTATTTCTTAAGATCTAGATCTCATGGCTTGGCCCATACCTAAGGTTCTGGTCCTACTTCACCTATAGGTGGTAAAGGCTTTCGTGGTCCTGACTCCCAAGTTCCAGTCCCACGACCAGGAACAGCTCACCAAGGAGCTCCAGCAGCATGTGAAGTTGGTGACCGCGCCCTACAAGTACCCCAGGAAGGTAAGCAGGGGCAGGAGGGAGGATCTGGTCTGCCGAGCGCTTCCAGGCGCTGGGGCTGCTCACTGGGAACAGACAAGCTTAACCAGCCAACCTCTTTTCCTCTGCAAAACAAGCAGTTTGGCTTAAGGATAGATTAGATAGAGTGCATCTTATCAGCCCTGGGTTCATTAGCAAGCTGCCTGGCCTACAGTTATTCAATACTCACTGCGTGTGCCGGGTCCCACACTCAGTGTTCTACATGCATTATTATTTTATTTAATCTTGGACACAAACGGACCTAGAACCAGAACTGTGATAGAGATCATAGTGAGACAGGTTGCGAACTGCCTGAGTGTGCAGACAGCAGAAAGAGCTGTAACTCCCACGCCTGTGTGACACATCAGAGCAATCAGGAGAGGGGAGATGATACAGCACCCCCAAATAGTGAAAGTTTATGACCGTGAAGGACACTGGCTCATGCTGTATGCCTGCTGTGGCTTTTCTGGGTCCTCTGTTCCACTTTTCCTCATCCTGGGGACAGGACAATGAAGTAGCTAGCTACCTCTTAGACATCTGCCCGGCGTTCTAATCAATGGAGGAGAAACCGCCCACTGTCCACGCACGCAGTCACTTCTGCCTGGAGAAAACAGACTTCCATTGGTCAAAGTGAGTCATATGACCACAGCCGACCTTCAGGGGTGAGAAAAAGGACTGCAAATACCCAGTGGAGCCCATTAAGGTCACCGCAGGCTCTCAGTCTGTACTGCGGGGTCATGTGCAGAGGCAAAGTGGAGCTGAGTAGATTTTTTGTACATTTTTTATTGTAAAAAATACTGTACAGAGAGGTTACAGTTACAGTTACAGTTACATGAGCATTGTTGCCTCCTCCTTTGTTTTTCCCCTACCATTCCATCCCTCCACAACTACCTCCCCTCCCCCCCCCGCCAAAGTTGTAAAGTTCATTTTCAACCTAGTGTCTTGTACATCTCATTGTTACAATGGGTCAATCTGTATGCCTATTTAAGCATTTTGTTTTTTCCCTTCCCCTCCCTGAATCAGAAAGAATGACATCACCCCATTTGTTAGGAAATGGAAAGACTTGGAAACAAATTATATTAAGTAAAGTAAGCCAGGCCCAAAGAAACATAGGTCCCATGGTTTCCCTTATTTGCAATAATAATACATGTGTAGGACAAGTAGAAAGGGTTAAAAACTATGTAAATATGACCATATAAAATGTTAAGTGAAATGAACCCCAAGACAGGGACACAAATTTTTTTCTTGCTTACTATTCTAACGTATTTATAATGTATCGTGATATTTTTGTTTCTTTGTATGTTCCTCCCCTGTGGTATAACCCCTGTTTTCACTGTATTTGATGTCAATGCCCTGCATCTTGTATATACACTTCTCAGAGTGGATTTTTCCAAGGCAAGGTGGATTTACTTTCTCCCAAACCAGGTGGAGTTTGTTCCAGAGCTTCCCAAAACTGTCACTGGGAAAATTAGACGAAGTGAACTCAGGAGAAAGGAGTATGGCCTGAAGTAGTCAAGAATAAACCTACCATTTGTCCTGGGACCTGAATTCCAATCCATGGCTGCCTTCATTTCCCACTATGGGGCCAGGGTGAGATGGGCTTTGGCAAGAGTTGGTTAGAAGGGTCCCCCAAAATGTTGTTCCTTCCCATTGAGTCCCTACTTTTCTTGGATGTCCTATAGTCTTTCGGATAGTCCTGATCAGCACTTGGATTGGGATGTGCAGATAAATAAAAGACTGACCGTAATGTCAGAGCAGACCTGTATGGTATGTTCATCTCTGAATTCATCTTGACAAAGTGCCTTTCCTCTGTAATAATAATCCCAAACTTCAATCTGAGCTATGCCCAGGCCAGACTCTCCCCTTGGTTCCAGGGTCTGGGCAGGTTCGAGAAGCTCCAAGTATCCACTAATGAGGGAGCCCCAAGTATCCACTAAAGATCTAAGAGCCAGAGTGGCTGATGGACTATCTGTATGACTCTACCATCTGCCTCTGCCTGTCTCTGCCTACAGCCTACAGAAGGCCAAGGCTGCAGGCAATGCTCAGGGATGTCAGCTCTGAATTAGTAACATGTGGATGCCAGAGAGTCCCTACCGCCACCTTCAATGGCCCTCTGCCTTTTTGTCTCTTCATAATACTTCTGCTCCAGCAGCGCCAGCAGTGGCTGCTGTCTTCCAGCTGCAAGCCGTCACAGTTGCATCCAGACCCCAGCCTCTGTGGACCCAGGAGTCCTGCCAGTCTCCTCTAGGCCCATGCAGAGAACTAAGTGGAAACCGAATCCCACTCTTTCCTCCGCAGGCACCTCTTTCTCCCCAGGGCCCCGGGAGCTCTGTCCATCTTTCTGTTCAAGCAATTCCACTCATTCTTCAGCAGCTCAGGACTTCTACTCCAGAACCCCCACCCCCTACCCCGCCACAGGAACCCAGAGCCCTCCCCATCTACCAGCCCAGGCTTCTGTAAATGGACCATCAATACACAGGCCTGGCCAGGGAGACCAATGGCTAAGAAGAGCAAGAACAGGAAGATCTCTTCCTATGAGGAGGATGGAGGGGGAAAGCAAACTATCTCTTTCCATCCCAACTCTAGGAGATCATCCCAAGAGAGTCCCTTCCATATGCGCATCATTCTGGGGTACACACCTGTATGTACTCGCAGACACCTCAAATCCTGAAGGGGAACACTCACAGAACCAGCTGCACCCACAAATAGGCTCTTCCTACTCCCACTCCACTCCAGTGCACAGTTGTTTTTACGTTTTTTGCTTTTTCTATTTTCTTTGAACTCACAGCCATAAATGCTGTTTTCTTGCCATCTCTGGCTGTGATAGAATGTTTTTCTATTATTTACCATAAAATGCTTAATAATAAGAGTGATGGAATTAACCAGGCACTGGGTGGCTCATACCTGTAATCTTAGCTATTCAGAAGGCTGAGATCTGAGGCTCACAGTTCAAATCCAAGTCGAGGAAGGAAAGTCCATGAGACTCTTATCTCCAATTAACTACCCAAAAGTTGGAAGCAGAGGTATGGCTCAAGTGGTAGAGTTCCAGCCTTGAGAGACAAAGCTGAGTGACCATGCCCTGAGCTCAAGCCCCAGGACTGTCTTACCACCAACTTGGGATGTTAATACCAGTTCCTGGCTTGCGTCCTTTAGTGGTAGGAATTGGATAGTATGTGATTATATCGGAAAGATGTTGTTCTCTTTGTAAATATAATTTTCCTTATTTAATACCAATAGCCAGGATTAGAACTATTCAGGAAATCAAAGGTGACACACCTTCAGATTGGTGACAGATTTTTCAGCCCTTCAACCCTGGCCTCTGATCATTAGTGACCAATGGAATACGTAAAAGCCGTCGTTTGTATTGTGACCCTTCTGGTTGACTTTTTGTAACAAAGGCTGCTCCTGAAAAAAAAAAATCTGTCCACCAGCCCTGAGATACCCCTTTCAAGTACATTCTTTGGGAAATTTATACAAGGAAGTTTATACAAGAAAGTTGCTTGTTGATTTTTCCAAAGCAGAAGAAGTTGACATACAGAGGAAAGTGAAAAAAAATTTAAAAAGCTCGTTTACCAATGTCAGATTTACCTTATTGTTCTCTGTGTCTCTCATATTGGGTGTCTCAGCATATACTTGTGGGCTTTTATTCTTCCCATGAATTTTCTGGATCTGAGACTCTGCGCTCATCAGACATTTTGAGTGATATTGAATACAATTGTCTCCTTTCTTCTCACAGGGTCCCATAAGGTATTTCAAATTATTTTTATTATTATAACGGTGATGTACAGAGGGCTTACCATTTCATAAGTCAGGGAATGAGTACATCTTTTTGGACAATGTCACCCCTTCCCTCGCTCTCTCCCAGTTTTTCCCTTCCATCCCTACCCACCACAAGTTGTATAGTTCATTTTCAGCATAGTGTCCACTGAGTACCACTGCTGCACTTGTTCACCCTTTGTCCCTCCATTTCTTTGCCCTTTAGACTCCTCCAAAGATAAGACAAAATAAAATATTCTTGTTCCCATTTCCTGCAGTTGAATTTTATATGGATGTTATATGATCAGAGAGACACAGACATTGTGCCTTTGTTTTTCTCCCCTAAGAGTGTCCATCTTTGGTCTGTGTGTATATAAGGTGTTCTTGGTGGTTGTTTTTTTTTTTTTTACTTCACAGTTTCTCTAAAGCCAGTTAGAGTTCTTCCACTTCCTTTTTTTTTTTCTGTTTCAGTAATTTGACCTTCCAAGAATTTGCAGCTCCCCCTTGGTCAAGTGGGTATTGAAAACACTCTGGTGCATTTTTTTTTTCAGATCAGTTACTGACACCTTTAATCTCATCATTTCTAAGGAGTTCTGCTAAGGTAAATTTCAGTGGATGGCTAAGTCTTCATTTTCAATTTTTTCTTAGGCGTTTTTGTTCACAGATTGCATTTGTCAATAGTGTTATTTTGAGGATGTATGGCTTCACTGATTTTATTTTCTCTTTCCCCTATCATTTCCTTGAGTTCCTTTTAGTATCATTGTCACCAGAAATCTGTACCCTCAGGCCAGCCCTCCCCCCCCCACAAGCCCAGAACTCCACCTCAGCAGTCAGACCCTGACATGTCCATGATCAACAGTCCCTTCTCCCTGGAGGAGATGGGGTTTCCTACCAATGACACATCTCAAGCTGGGGTGACACGCACAATCCCCAGCAGTATGGGCCATGCTTCCACGGGTTGTGGGATTTCTAATACCCATTTTGTGGCCTGACTGTGGTTGTAAACTCCAGGTCTGGTGAGGGGAGAGAATTTCTAGTACCTCCTGGTTTATTATCACGAAGAGAGATAGAAAATTACAAAGCCTGTGTTATAATTGTGAAATTTAAGTCAAGTATTACCTATTTATCCCAAAACAGTATCCAAGAATTTGTGCTGATCAACATTTTTATATCACCATCTTGTAAAAAGAAAAAAATATTCTAGAATCCTTGACCTATACACAAGTCTTCATTGCACAAGTTTTCCCCTGCATAGGCTGGTTGCTGCCGACTCTGGACCCTGGGTTGGAAACCTGAAGGCTGGATGGACAGGCTTGCTTGCTTTAGGGGGTCCCCCAAACACAGGCCATGGCCCCATCCTGAATGCATTCTGTGTTTGAGGCTTAGATCTTGCTTTTGACTGACCCCATATCTAATGGGTAACTGAGGCCCAGAGACCTGGAACAGGGCTAATGATAGATGGACTAGGAAAGCCATGCAGCCAGCGGGCTTCCCAACCCCACAGCCCAGAAGCCTCCTCTTCCCACCAGGCCACAGGTACTTACTTCCTCCAGTCCTTGAAAAGCCCTCTCCTGGGCTTGGTGCTCTTGCCCTTCTTAACCAAGTGGGATGGGGGCTCCAGTTCACAAGCCAGGCGGTAGCTAAGCCATGGAGGGCAAAACAGTGAACACTACACCAGCACCCACGCTCTTCCTCCCTCCCAGGGCCTTACCGGGAAACCGCAGCCCAATTGGCCAATTGACATCAGGTACACTGATCCTGGGGCACAGGTGTCTGTCTTCAGAGTCCAACTCCAGGTCCACGCCCTTCTCCATGCCCCAACCACTCTGCCCACCTCACCTCTCAGCCTTGCTGAGCCGGGGCAAGCCCTCGAACCAGGCCTGAAAGCACTCATCAGGCTTGATGTTGATGAAATTGCACGAAGCCTGCAGGCGCTTGAGTTCAGAAATAATCTGGTATTGCTGAGCGAAAGAAAGGACGGGATGGTGAGCAGCCTGAGGGGCAGGGCCAGCAGCTGGGTCCCTCGGTTCTCTGGTGCTGTCCTGCGCACTCAGAACCCTCCATGGCAAGAAGCCGCACCTTCCATGAGCTCTCTGAGACCCAGCTGAGGCCCACGGCACCCGGGGCCAGTCCATGTCCCTCTGCCCATCATCCCCATGCATTAAAGTAAACACAGAGCTGACTGGACAGCCCATCTGCTCCTCACCACCCCCCTGATGGGTGAGAGAGGCCTCGGCTCACCTTCCTCAGTTTCTCCACGTTTATGACTCTCCCCTAGAGACCAAAGCCAAGACAGTTAGAGAGCGACCCTTCCACCATGAGGGGACCTGGTCAGGCCCAGAGGATCTCTGCCTGCACCAATAAGGGAGCCCGCCAAGTGACAAGGAGACACCCAGCCCATGCCAGGGCAGGCTTCCCCATCCAGGACAGGCCACAAAGCCTCAGAAGCCTTGAGCCCAGCGCTCCCTGAGGCCATCCCAGACTGAGCCCTGGTGAGAAGACCCTGGGCGCATGTGCAGCCTGAGCTGGGGCGGAGCTGCACTCTCATGCCCAGAGTCACGCTGTGGTGGACTGGCCTCACCTGCTGCTCTGCCAAGAGGAAGCTTCTGGCCTCACCCCGCAGGGTGGGTGTACAGTTGGCACACTGGGTGAGGCTCTCAGGAAAGCTTCAGCTCAGGGGGTCCCCAGGGCTTCTCCCTTCAAATACCACAACCCAAACCCAGAGCCCAGGCCCACTCACACAGTGGAAGTCTGGCATCTCCTTGTTCACCTTCTCCAGTTCAGCCAGGAAGGTGCCCAGGTAGGGGACAGTGCCCTGGAGGAATCCATGTGAGATCAGGTGATGGGGGACAGCCCAGCACCTATGAACTCGGGGCTTCTCAGCCTGGCCCAGGGCCCAGCAGAGCTGCCTACCCAGAGGGCTGGAGACCTTTGTCCACTTCTGTACACAGCAGCCCTCCTGCTCCCTCAACACTGACTGTCCTCTGATGAGC